AAGGAAACCATGATCATGAATTTGCCCAATCAAGTGATTTGACACCTTTTAATAGCTGAAAAAATATCAATGTCCTACCATGGAGGTTCATGGATATGGTAGGAATTTTCAGGTAGCCAATCTCATCAAATATATCTATATATGAGATATTATAATAAAAGCACTTTCAATTACAGTCCTACACTACCCTTGCATATTTCTTATTCAATGTAGTATTTACAGTATTTATTAGGGGTATAAGTGGAATTTCATGCTCTCATTGAATTCACACCTATATAGTTGTTCGACTTGCTACAACATGGAACAGGCCATGTGGGGAAGATATGGCTGAGGAGTACACGTGTGGAGCATATAAAATGTATATGGAAAAATGATCAAATTTTCAAGAAAAACTTGATGATGCAACTATATGACTAAAATGCCCTCCTAGACCTTTCTACATGCTCCAATTTAATAAAATAAAATTTTAACAGAAATTTTTACTTGGGTTTCATATAATCACTCTTGTGCACTTGTTCTGTCGCGCAAGAAGCTGACTCATACAAGATTCAAACAACAGTAATCTCCATATATATATTTGAATGCATATCACATTCTTACCTTTAAAGTTTTAATTTACTTCAAATATGTCCCTCCGATATTTAAATAATAGTTTGACTAAATCGTCATTATATATACATTTACATATTATTTAAAAATGCATCATTTTATAAAATGATGGAAATGGTTATTTAGTACATGACGGGTGCGATACGTATTGTAAGCATATTATAAGGATATTTTTTTCGCTTTATAAAATATTGTTGTTTTGAATCTTTTAATCTTAACTATTATTGAGAACGTAATTTTATCGCGATTTGAATAGTATGATAACGGTAGGTAATTGAACACCCATTTATTAGTTTTTTTTTTTAATTTTTTTTTTTCAATAAAGATTAAATACTCATTTGTTGTTGTTGTTGTTGTTGTTGTGTGTGTGTGTGTGTATATATATATATATATATATATATTTGTGAAAATTTATTGCAAATTCTAAAGTTTCAAAAATTAAATGCATATTGCTTTTATATAATGCATAAGAATCTTTAATTTAATTTTTTAATTATATATTTAATGAAAACTGATAACTATATTAAAATTTAATTAGGAATAATTTTTTTTTTTTTATAATTATAAAAGGAACCAAAATTTTCATTCCATATGATATAGTGTACATTAATCTGACAATTGTGACAATAATTTTTTTTTTTTAAGAGAGATAATATACTGTTAACGGAAATATATGGAGATGATTTTTTTTTTTCCCGAAAAGGTGAGAAAATCTTTAAAAGTAAGTTAAAAATAGTTAATATACACATAACACCCCTATACTATGAGATAATTAGCATATACACTTCAGTTAATGTACACATAACACCCCTATACTATGAGATAATTAGCATATACACTTCCTTGGACATTTTCGGAAGAATAAAAAAGCAAAACGGATATTACAACATTATTTTATATTAAATTTATGATTCAATGTGTTTTCGCATAATTTTAAAAGAATATGGGTGTTTGTAGCACACCTTTTCAAATACGGTGAAAATGTTACACAAAGTATATATTAGAAGCATTTTCTACACTTAATCTATATATAGAGAGAGTCCTGATCTCTTACTCCCCATGGAGTAAGAAAATTAATCCACACTTTCTATATAGACCGTTAGATTAAATCTAACGGTCATTTTTCAAACCCACCTAAGTCTTTCCTTTTAACAAAAACCATTCTCATCCAATTTTTAGTTTCTATATTTAATTTTACCATTATCCCTTACTATAACAATAAAATGTAATTATCAACTTTCTCTCCATTTCTTTGTGCATGGCTGAATTTGAATCCATGGACAGAAGTGACAAATGATTTCTCTTCATGGATAAGGTTGTGAGAAGAGTTTTACCCTCTTTTTTTTTTCGGTTACCTTATTGTTTTTGAGGTGGATTCTACAGTTTCACTATAGTCCGTACATCATCATCATCCAATGATCAAACTCACAAATTCAATAATGAATTTCACCAAATGCCCAACTTCAAATTGAAATAAAAAGAATTTTTGTTCAAACTTTAAATGAAATTTTCTTCAATTTCAATTCCAATTAATCAATTTGATATTCCAAAATGCAATATTACAGTATATTTGTTGGTAAATTTACTTATACTAGAGAAGTATATTATAGTTGCAAAATTGATGTTTCTTAGAAAAATGATAAAATATTATACTGTTGTTGCAAAATTGATGTTTCTTAGAAAAATGCTATAATATCATATTGTTGTTGCAAAATTGAAAGATACAAGTATTGTTTTTGTTTCAAAGAAATATCTAAATAAAAACAAATTTTTAGTAAAATATACTGGTATTATTTTTTTTCAAAGGTTGATATTTTTATTTTGATAATTACCTTTTATTGTTATAGTAGGTGGTAATGGTAAAACTAAATATAAAAACTAAAAATAGGGTGAGAATGGTTTTGTGTTAAAAGGAAAGGTCATAGGTGGGTTTGAAAAATGATGATTAAATTTAATCTAATAGTCTATATTAAAAGTGTGTATTAATTTTCTTACATCATAGGGAGCAAGAAATCAGGACTCTATATGAGATATATATACACACACACACAACATGAACATAAAATTTAAATGTCATATATGTTCAAGTTGAAAGTGATTTTACTTTGTGTAAATGTCAAAACTTTACAAAGTTTTTCATCCAAACATTCTGTATAGATGAGAGTAACTTCACTTCCATATTGAGAACTGAGACAATTTACAATTCCATTTGAGAGCTGAAGTAACTTCACTTCTTTGCTCATTTGACTTGGAAAAAGACAGGATATACTTGAAGCTAGCATATACTTCATTACATGCCTTCATGCCATTGGTATGATTGTGTATATTAGCAAAATCTCAATGCCTTGGTGTACTTGATATCTGTATTCACAAATTTTGGCCCTTTATGGATTTCTGTCAATTTTGTTGGATTGATGCTGGTAATTGGACTTTTGCTATGTAAATCAAAACCCACATATGTTCATGGTATGATTTGTGTGACTTGTTAATGACCAAACATTATGCCCCATATAGTATACTGACATTGTATACAAGATATTTCAGCGGGTTGTATTTATGTGATTGTCAGATGAATTTTGACGCGATAATGAACAAAAATTACGTTTATGTATGTGATGAAATTGACATTTTTATTTTTATTTTATTATTATTATTTTTATGTGAGCTTCATTGCTTTGTTGTTATGAGTTTCAAATAATATATTACTGTTGATGATAGACCTTTGTGTGATGAAGAGATTATTTTACATAGGTTGAGAATGTTGAAATCCGTATCTAAGGGGGATCCAAGTAATAAAAGGAATTTTAAGTTCAAGATTAAGAGAGGAAAGACGGTAATTAATACCCAAGCAACTCGAGCTCGTTGGTGACTATCGGTCAATGTATTACCGTCTGTCCCTTTAATGGCTGATTAATGCTCCTATTTATATTACCGTTCCTTTGGTCAACGCCCACTGGTCACAAGGGTAACCCTTCTCTTGCCCATAGGTTCAATGACCTTACCTGATGACAGATAGGACATTGGTAGGTGGCCCGAAGCGCTTTGCCCCTTGGTCCAAGGAGGTAATGGTGCTCCTCATTTAATGTGGGTATTGTCAAATGGTTCATGCATTTAATGCACCGTTTTCTTTTACCCGGAGCTCGACCTTGCACACCGAAACAAGAGATGAGGAACAAAGCTTCCTCGGAGTTCTGCCTTCTTAGTCCCGCGAGGCTCTATCCCGACCCTGCACCTCGAAGCCTCTTCTATTCGGGGGGGTGCTAGGGGTGAGAGTTTATTTTGTCCGAGATTCCATCTGCAGGAGGCTCCGAAGGAGGTAAAAGAAGTGGAACCCATCCAATTGGAGCAGGGTACCTCTACAAGAGAGTGAAGGGTGGCGACCCCTTCCTCGTTCAGTGAATTCAGTCATAGGACAAGTAATTCGAGATCACTTGATCCTTTTAATGGAATGCCAGATAAATATTGGCATACGGACCATGTGAGTCTTTTTTCCAAAAATGGAGAAGGTGTAGTGGCACCTTTATCAACAAATACAAATGAGGCTACAAGGAACTCCTATGTATAGGTAGTACAATTTTTCCCAAGGACTTATTTATTGAAGAAGATATATAGGTTTTTTTTTTCTTCCCAAAAATAAAGAAAAATAATGACCTTAAAGTCATAATTTTAAGGTTTTCAATCTAAAAAGTAAATATTTAAGTTGAAAAAGAGGGTAACACAATACGAAGTACAAAAGTGCAAGAAGCTTTTTTTCCACTGCTTGTTCTCACCCAAATAATTCAAGCTTTTTCATGTTCTCTCGTCATTTTTGGTTAAGACCATTAGTCAGAAAAGGTCAAAAAATATTTCTTCTTTTCAATCTAAGCAAATGTATAAATACATTCTTTCTTTTTGCAACAACATAGTAATTATACATAAAGAGGATATAAAACAAATTTTGATTAATGCTTCCTTTGCTCTTATATTTTAACAAATTTCAATAAAAATTTGTTCCCTTTGACAAAAAAATTATAGTATTGAATATTTAGATTAACCATAATGTAAGTATATATCATCCATCAATAAATATTCCCATTTTCAAATTACAACACATTCCATTGATAAGAGGGATCCATTACTTTCTATAGCATGTTTTTGTGTGCCCGCTTGTATAATTATATATCATATTTACAGATTATCTATATTTAATGGAAAAATTCTAGGATTAAATATTTATAAAACTAAAACTACACATCAGGATATATTGTTTCATCCAATAGTAATTTAGTAACCGAAACAAAAAAAATAAAAAGAAAAAGAAAATCTAGGACATTTTTGTCACTAAAATAATTTATTGGCTTCTAGTGCTTTAGAAAATAACAATAACAAAAACAAAAACAAAAACGGCTTTTGGCATATCTTCTCTCTCTAAACTTATTGATGGTATTGTGGGTGGAGCTTTACGCAACCCCATTACCAAACCATCATAAGATTCCTGTTCCACTTCCATACCTCTCTTCCCTTTTCCTCTTCCTTCTTATCTCTCCCTCCCTCTCTCTCTCTCTCTCTCTCTCTTATATCTCCGTCCTTCACATTACAATTTTCTCTCTCTACACTGATTTATTCACACATATTTGATCTTTCTATATCTATACAACTCCTCTATTGCTCTGAACATCAAACCTAGTCCTGGAAGAAACCCATATGCATTAATTTCCCACGAAATCTTAGAGGTCTTTTGTTCTTATCAATCTCTTCGTTCTTGGGTTTCGGTTGTCTTGGTTATTTATATACATCCATATAGTCATATACTATATATAGTGTATATACAGATGCCTTTTGCAGTATGTCAATTCAATTTTGTTTATGAAAGGTAGTTTTTTTTTTTAAACAATCTGGGTTGTTTTCGAAGTGTTTGAAGAGGTGAAATTAGATGGGTAATATCGGAAGTAGCAGCGGAAACGGTCGCCGGAGGCAAGGGAGCAGGCGCAGCCACCCTCCGCCACCGCCACCGCAGCAGCCTCCTGAAATCACGGCGAACCGGTATGTTTTCGCTGCTGCAACCCCTTATCCGTCCCAATATCCAAACCCGAATCCTCCTCCGTACTACCAGTACCCGGGTTATTACCCGCCGCCACCTCCGGCAATGCCCGTACCGTTGCCGGCTCCGTACGATCACCACCACCGTCCTCCGCCGCACATGGACCCTGCCCACGCGAATTGGGTCGGTGGGCGGTACCCTTACGGGCCGGTTATGCATCCCCCTGCCCCCTATGTGGAACATCAGAAGGCGGTGACCATTCGAAATGATGTTAATCTAAAGAAGGAGACTTTGCGGATGGAACCCGATGAGGAGAACCCCGGGCGGTTCCTTGTTGCTTTCACATTTGATGCCACGGTTGCGGGGAGGTATAGCTTTATGTGAATTTTGCTTGATCTTTATTAAAAAATGTCATAATTTATGCTTCAATTAGTATACAAGTATATCAAATCTAGTCATTTATTGTGTTGGATTATCAAAGTGATTTCACCTCTAGATGACGACTGTTGAATGTTTTTGTTTATTGAATTCTGAATTGAGGTCCTCTGTCCTTTTTTTTGTTTGTTTATTTTAGATTGTTGGGTATTTTGTATTCTATGAGGTGTTCTTTGACATAATCGTTGGTCATAGAGGGTATGAATCAAGTGATGATAAATGATGGGAGAGGCACACTTGCTGAAAATTGCTATGTAATCATTATTGCAACAAAAAGTTGATGAAGTTTCTCCTTTGTTAAGTGGCCACAAATTTTCTGTAGATTTTATAGTCTGTACTACAAATTGGATGTGAAGAAGCTAGATATATTGATGAATTCCATGTACTCTTTATGGTGTGGAAGTGGCTTTAGTGTAGATTTTACTTTAATTGGTGCAAGGTTGATAGACAATTATAATGTAAGGGTGTTTGTAAGGTTTCTAAATTGTGTTAATTTAGTAGTGCACCTTTGGCAGAAAAGGCTGGCTTAGGTTAAAGGTCAAATTAAGCCCGATGCAAGGTACGAAAGCCTTTTCTTTAAGCCTGAGCCCAACCTGACCTACTCAACATGAAATCCGGGATTTAAAATTTTGAGCTCTGGGTGCGCCAAAGTCTAGTGTTAAACATTATTAGGCCAGAAATTTAACTTCAATATGTGAATTATTCATGAATAACATCGATGGTACAGAAAGCTAGATATGGAGAGAGAAAGGGCAATGTATCACTTATCAAAAAAAGAAAAGAAAAAAGAAAGGGCAATGCGTCAATACTCGGATAGATTTCATCGAACAAGAGAATGACAAGTTCTTGCTTCTTGTTTTGTTTTCAAAAAGGCTTGTTTTGTCTTCAAGAATTGAAGTTGATCCCTACGCTTGAAATGTGGTAGGGCAAGTGAAGCAGAGATTGAACTGATGGTGATAGATGTGGTTGTGAGAGGGAGTCACACACGAAGTGGGGGAAAGCCAAAGCGGAGAAAAAGATGTTGTGCCTTGGATTTGGGAAATTGGTTTGGAGAATAAGTAATCATACTTTATCTTAGGGTTTGGAAATTTGTTATTTGTAAAAACGTAGTGGTAACTCATCTATTCAACTTTCAACTACTTGGGGCTGGCTTCATTAATTCTTTTTTTTCATTCTGCTCTATTTAAAACCATAGCCTGAATCAAATGACATGTTCTTTTATATTTCCTTACTAACTCAACCTATGCCAATTTTAGTCTTTCCTTTAGCATTGCTCTCATTGTGGACTGTCATTCTGTTAGCTCACACACTTGGTGGTCTTCTTCGGACACGTTCAAACCATCTTGGACCTACGTGTAAATTACAATAGTTGAGCAAAACATAATAGGACGTCTTGGCCTTGGGTTGTGAGAGGTGGCGCCTAGCTCTTGTTACCTTCTTTTTTCTTTTCTAAAATACAAACAATCTTTTGTCCTAGAACATCAATTGCCTTCAGGGTGTTAGAAGCTTTTTCAGAATGCCGTGGTGGATAATTTGGGAAGATAGAGAACTACATTGGAATTGATTTTGCTAGAATACTTTCTTGCCTGAATTTTAAGCAATTTGAGATGGGAAATATTCCAAAACGTTCCACATGAACTTAGTTGGTCAGGCAAAAAATATATATAGAGGCAAGGTTCTGTCCTGCAAATTGGAGAGTATTAAATGAAGGATTGTCCAACAAGGTGCAACGACTAAGAGGGATTAAATAAGGGAGGATGAGATTGGGAAAAGATGGTTCATCTGTCAATGTTTAAAATTTATTTCGGTTTATTTTTTACATTTTTTTGTGTACTCATCTTCTAGATATTTAACTCATCTTAATGTGCTTTATTGGACATGAGTTTTTTTATTGAAAGATAGTATATGAAATCCAATGTGCTTTACTGGACGATTTTTACATTATTTTTCTGGGAGTGGCTTGTGCTACTGTAAGAGCATTTTTGAAGTTCTACATGCTATTTTTGGATTTTTTTATTATTTCACTAATGTGCAATGTTGTATAACCATATGTGCCCCCTTTTTGTTTACCATGCGTCCTAAAGCGGTTTATGGATTATTGACGGTCAATTTAAAAAGAAAAAGGAAAAAAGGTCATATGGTGACAATTTTTTACCAATGTTTTAAATGGCACCTAGAATCATAGAACTTACTGTAGTCCAAGTATCTAAGAAGTTGGGAAAAATGAAGTTGATGGGATTGTGGGGAAACATTTGGTAAGTTATGGGCTAATGGATGGTGTGATTCTAAACAAAATGAATTATCCACAAGTTCAGATTTTGTTAATGAGTTGTTGCTTTTATATTAATGTAATTGTCACAGTTGTGCAAATAATTCTAAAAATTAGGTCTGTGCTTGGTCCACCATCACCATAATCTATTAATTGTGGTTACATTGTGTATTTATTTATTTTGAGAAACATTGTTCTTTTATTAAAAGATTTGAGTTTCACTTTACAATTTCCATTTTCATTGATCTTCAAACAGCATCACCATTATTTTCTTTGCAAAAGAGGGTGAAGACTGTAACCTAACTCCAATGAAGGAAAGCTTGCTTGCACCAGTGACGGTAAATTTCCAAGAAGGTTTGGGCCAGAAGTTCAGGCAACCCTCTGGAACTGGGATAGACTTCTCAATGTTTGATGAAACAGAGCTACTGAAAGAGGGTGACATGGATGTGTATCCTCTAGCGGTGAAGGCAGAGGCATCCCCAACGAACCAGAATGAATCAGCAGATGGAAACCAAGAGTCTGGAAACACAAATTCTCAGATAACTAAGGCAGTGTTCGAGAAGGAGAAAGGTGAATACCAGGTGAAGGTGGTGAAGCAAATATTATGGGTGACTGGAATGAGGTATGAGCTGCAGGAGATTTATGGGATTGGGAATTCTGTTGATAGTGACTTCGATGGGAATGATCCAGGGAAAGAATGCGTTATCTGTTTATCAGAACCTCGGGACACAACTGTGCTTCCCTGCCGCCACATGGTACAGTCTCTCTTTCTGTGTGTGTGTGTGTGTGTGATATGAGCAACAGGAATCTATCCTTACACCTAGCTTTTTCAATCTCAACACAAATTGCCTTTTGACAGTTTATTAGAAATGGCTTGGACCAACCTGTTGGATTTGGGTTCAGTTTGATTCCTAATTTGGATCTGTTATAAAGAGAACTTGGACTAAACACGGGTGAAGAGGCCAAACTTGGCTGATTTTGGGCCACCTTGTGCAGACTAGATAGTTCATGTTAATACCATTGGTTTCTAACTGTCAAAAGATTCAATATGATATAGAGTTTATTTTTGTTATAATCAAACATTTTGACTGATCAATCTAGGGGCTGATCCAATGATCTGTGATCTTCTCTCTAGTTCTGACAACTTTGATTTTTCAGTTATTCTATAATAATTGTCATCCTCCTTGAAATGCTGGGAATCTTTCTTTACGTGATTTAATTTGTGATGGTAGGATGTTGCAACAGTTTCAGGGTAACAGGTTTTAGAGGATCTTAGTCCATAAACATGAATTCTAACCTTAACAATCCCACCACCTATACTCCACTGACATGTAAGAGAAACATATATATTTCTGAACTGTCCATAATTTGTTTTGGTGTTAGCCTTTTTACCGGCTTATAATTCTCTTTTGTCACCAGATCGAGATTGACAAACGTCGTTTGTATCTCATTTACTTTAAGTGTTCGCAAACTAATGGTCATTTAGTTTACCTGAAATGAGACACTTGTCAGTAGACATATTTTTAATTTGGTTTCTTTTATTGGTGCAGTGTATGTGCAGCGGGTGTGCAAAGGTTTTGAGGTTCCAAACGAACCGCTGCCCAATTTGCAGGCAACCAGTTGAGAGGCTTTTGGAGATTAAGGTCAATAATGGACCTGATGAGTGAAGAAATGATGCATTCCTGCCACCATCGTGCTATATAAGTTCTTTCTTTTTTCTATTATTTTTCTTTTTGTTCTGCCCCAACAATCTTTTCACTTCACATTCCTAGTTTTCAGTATTCTGACAAAATCATAATGAGTATGCAGTTTGCATTGGATATGTTGTCCTTTTACTGGCTTGATTACAATGTTGTTAGCCAATACTTTGTATGTTTGTGCAAGTTCCTAATGACATTTCTTTTGAGTTGTCACTATTTAAAATGAAATATATAATGTATTGATTTGGTTTAAATATAAGAGTATTTAAAATCAACAACTTTAAGTGTATTTCTATTCTTCTTCTCAGCCCCTCACTGAAGAACTTTGTAGGCTATGTTGTATCGTTTCGAGTTCTTTATTTTCAAGTACATTCTTTCAAGAAAATATACGGAGGTTATGTTGGTCCGGCAATGAATTTATATATACAAACATGCCCACATAATTGTCGAATCTGATTCCAGAAATGAGTTAGTTATTGTCCTGATGCTTGGATGGAAATTTGGGAATGGTGAGCTTTGTGGTCTCTGCCTTAAGTCCGAAAGTCGGATGTATCGGGTTGTTTATATGAGTGGAAAATGACCTCTTAAATTTAGTCGAATATGTCACTCTTGGACTCTTTTGTCATTACACTAATAATAATGGTTGGAAAAACCACCAAGCGGTATCAGTAGGAGGGTTGGCTTTCCAAATCACCTCAGGTAACAGGAACCAAATGAAAGTTACACAATAATTGAAAGCATTATATATATACATAATATATATATATATATATAGGAATAGAAGTATATTTGCACAAGTTAGTGGATGAGGGTGCACGTTGTTGTATTTGAAATTCTGGTAATGCCTGTGGTTGATGAATTTGCATTAGAAAAATGTGGCCATTTCCGCCCATAAAGTTTTTCAGCAGTTAATCATAATCTAATAAATCATCAATTTTTGGTGAATTGTTACTAATTTCAGTGAAATGTGGCCCAAAGCATTTTGTTTTTCTTTATTCTTTTATTTTTATATGATAGTGGAGAGGGACTTTTGAGACTCCTTATCAACTAGGAGGAATCAAAAAAAAAAAAACTGTACCAGTAAACATTGTTGATAATAATATCTCGGTTTATGGAGCACCCCCCCTCTCTCTCTCTCTCTCTCACACACACACACACACACACACACTGAAGAAGTTTGGGGTTGATTTTGTCACCATAGAGAACTTTGAAATCCCAAGTTTCTAAATGATGAATATAAAATTTGTGAATGGTATTCGTTTCTCTTTCCTTAAGATGTGTTTGGACTATGTTCTCCGATTGTGAAAGGTTTATTTTTCTTTTCCTACCGATAGATTCACACACCAAGTGTTGAGTAACCAAACAATACCAAAAGAATCAAAACACTAGTCTTTTATCTCCATCCACAAACAGTATTCCACTCAATCAATAAAGACCAAGTCATCATCTTCATCCATTTTATATAACCATTTCCTTTCAGAAATGTCTCATCAAAACCCAAGTACTATAAATTCAACCACACAAAATAGACATCTGTATTAGTGAGTCAGAGCTTGCACATGTACTCTGTTTTGTTACAAGTTCTTGGTGAGTTAGGTTGACATACATTTATATTATGGTCATGACAATTGATAGCCAAGCAAATGAAATCAACAAAGAAATCAATATTGTATTAGCCCACTAACTCAAATTCTACTTTCCACTTTGACAATATTACACTTATAAAATTATTTTATAAGTTGGTCCCTTTATTTTCTCTCACCCCTTTCGAATTCGAGAATTTATATTTTTTATATTCTTGTACCTAAGATAAAGCCCTAGCGTTAAACAAATAAGTGATCAACATCATTCTTATAATTATTTTTATTATATAGTATCATTATAAAATCTTTCAATCCTATATATATATTTAAAAAAAAGTAATTAACATCAATTTTTATATGCTCCTCACATAGTGTACAACTTAAACTTAACAGATGCTTGTCTTAAGGACATAATAGCGTTGACAAGGATTCGAGAGGTAAGTCCTTGAGGTTTCGCTTTTGAATTGCACTCTTGATTTGAATGGTGCATGTGTTGTGAAGTCGATACATATACTCTAAAGAAAAAGAAAAAAAAAAAACTTAACGAATGCTTCCTCAAACTATATAGGATCAAGAACATGGAATATATTTTGTCATCAACCAAAATTTTAATTAAATCACATTTTATTATATCTTCCTTGACATAGTATTATATCATATTGACAAAATTATTGGTAATAGAAAAATACTTGGATAAATAGGGGAAAAAAGAGAATAATTTATAATTTAAGGAGAAATCGTAATCATTAGAAATATATAAATCTTTCGAACTTTATATCAGCCGCAAAAGCTCTGTGGTACTTAAATTGCACCAAACACATATGATTAAACTTGAATTTTGATATTATTTTTAAAAATTTTGAAGACTTAAACTCTCACTTTTTACTTTAAATAAGAGATGAAAAACCATTACGGCATGACGCCCTTGATAAAATAATTTAGAGAGGAAGTGTACAAACAGTGCAACCAACCACTTTGCTTCATTTGCTATTCCACTTCTCCAACCTTCTAAAATCCATCTTCCAAACAATTCACTAACTAAGAAAACTTGACATTAATCATATTATAGTAGTTGCGTTTATTCACTTAATACTTCAGGGAAAAAAAATCATTTATGGGTGATGTGTGTGTTTGTACAATGAAAAGCTGTTGTGTAGCTGTCCTTCCCATGACAACCACATGTTTAAAGTAAACTTCTGATAGCCTATGTTCACTTGTAAAATTCTGGTCTTTGTTGGGTAGCCAGTAGCCTCCAAGACTTAGAGTAGAAACTAAATTACATTACAGTATCCATTATATATATATATATGTGTGTGTGTGTGTGTGTGTGTGTGTGTATATATATAGAGAGAGGGTAGAAACTGGACAAGAAAGGATGAACAACCAGGTGGTATCCAGTTAGTCTCTTAACCTTAATGTGAAGATGATTCATTTTAATTAAAAAAATAAGAGAAAAGAATAAGATAATGGATTGAAACCATCCCAATTATCTTCTATTTTCAAATATAAATGCATTTTTTCTTAATTTGATTTGGTGGTATTTCAATATTTCAATAGTTTTCCACACCGAACATGGTAAGAAAATGTGAATCCTATCATATCCAAAAATAATTTATAGGACTCAAAATATATTCCTTTAATTTTCATTTGGGTAAATGCACTCCTATTGTTTATTTATTTATTTATTTAAATTTAACTTAAATGACAAGCATACCCTACTTATTTGATTTTCAGTATTTGTATATAGCAAAGTCAATCTTTGGTTTAGATCTATTTCCTATTTAAGTCATGAAGGCCAAAAAAAAAATTAAAATTGAAAAGTCTTCCATTCGCATCACAGTCTAAATTAGAATTGGATAAAAGTAAGTTACTGGATATGACTTTACCATATATATATACACACAAAAAAAATTCTCTCTATATATATACACACATAAATACACTACTATTAAAAGTATCATATACCTCATGATGTAAACTTCTATATAGATATAGATTTTTTGTTGATAAGTTTTCAAACATTTTTGTAATTGTGTCCATATATATATATATTATAATTTTCTTTATTTTAGCTATTTGATTTTAAACTTTTTTATAATTTATAGTATTTAATCACATGCATTTCGCCTCTCTCTTTTACTAAGTAGGTGTGTGTGTGTGTGTGTGTGTGTGTATATAGTGTATAAAAAGGATTTTGTTTTTATAGAAAACTACTACTTATGTGGAGAGAGTTTTTTACACGTTGAATTAACGCGAACTCATGTGAAACCAGTCTCATGGTAACGATGCTCATTTGGGTAACGGTGGGCGGTGGAGCCAGTTTCTCCTTCTCCTCCGTATAATTGTGAAAACAAGGAACCAACCGCTTTATATTTCATTGTCTCATTCTATTTCCCCAAATATACATTCATTTTTCCATCTCTCTCTCCTCTCTCTCTCTCTCTATATATATATATCTGTATATTTATCGGATTGATCGTTTACAGGCATCGACCTCTGATCGACCTGCAAAGGTATGCTTCTTCCCTGCAAAACTTTCATTTTTCCGATCGATCATCGTTTGATAAGCTAGTCTCATCTGAAATTTCATGCTTTTCCTTTAAACTTCTGATATACCTTTTTTCGTCTGATCATTGTTGTGTTTTTATCTTGATCGATTCTATTTTTAATTTTTTTAAAAATAAATTTTCATTATGAGCTTTTGGCTGATGGTTTCCGATTCTGACCATTACACTTTATGATCATCTATGTGCCTTCAGAGGTCGGAACACCCAGACAGATCTTTCTATTTTAAAAGATTGTTTTAAGAATAATTTCTGTGTCAAATTTAATGTTTGATGGGTTAGGATACGGGGCTTGTCACGTGCTTTATGTGTTTTATTTGTGTGGCTTATTTGCTTATATATTTATATGTATTTTTTAAAAAATTTCTAGATTCTCCCATCTAATTTTTGCATATTTGGACGAAGGATTCACGATGATGGTTAGAACTTATAATGATGATGGTGAACATGAATATAGTCAGAAGTATCATTGTATTCTTTAGTAAATAGTCACTTCATTGTTTATTTATGTCTTTTGTTTTTTTTTTTTTTTTTTTTTTATATATATTTGTGTTTCTTGCCTCACGAATTTCTAACTTGTTATAAATCTTTAGTAGTAGTAGTTGTGTTAGGCAAGTATGCTTGTTGGGCTGATCTATTGTATGATTTTACTTATTTATTAAACTAGAACCGACAAGTATAGTGTCTAGTTTAGACAAGACAACTGGTTTTCGCTTGGCTGAGCTGATTGCATTCTTTCTAGTATAATAAGACTTCGGGATTTTTGTTTATCTTGATAATGCGTGATTCTTCTCTAAATATCGTAATCTTGTTGAAGATTCCAGCTGTTTATAAATTTGTTTCGTTTTGATTAATTTGTTCATTGATTTATGCTGCATGTATGAATTAAAAGAATAATCCTTTTAGCTAACTTTATTCTCAGTACTGGCAGTACATATAGTTGCTGTCCCCTAGTCTTAGCTCTCTTAATCAGTCCTTCAATATAGGAGAGTTACATATATATATTTTTTCCCAGTAAATATTGTAGAAACATGATAATTAGAATAAAGGAAGAAAGCTATTGCTTTTTTTTCTGGGTACATATTAATTGCAGATGGTGTGATGCTTTTGCAGTTATCTTGATTAAATTTGTAAGGGATAACAGTATAGGAAGAAAGCTAAGGGTGTTAAAAAATTTCAGTGAACTGGGTGTACTTCTATTTTTCTATGAGGAAGAGGGTGTGTGCTCTGCCAATTATGTGTGACCTCTAGATTATGGCATAGCATTCCAGGAATGCTATAATTGCAGATAGAACCGAAACTGCTGAACTGAATTTCTGATTATATCATTTAAGTACTTTGAATTTGAAGAAAGAATGTAAAGTCACTGCTGCCTCCATTAACACTAGATGGTCATAGTTATGAGCGACAGTACAATAATAGGACCTCCGGCCAATCTGTCAATTATGATCTTCAGTGTATTTATCTTAATTGGAAGACATTGTGACAGCAGTATTTTCCCACATGGACATGCTTTCTATAAAAATAAAAATAAAGGGAGATGCACAAGCATAGCAGCAGGCGTGTAAGGTCCCTTGTATCAGAGTATACTTTGATAACATGGTTCCCAAAATGGCATTGGAGTTGAAGATATGAGGACTTTTGAAAGATTGATTCAGTTTTAATTATGATAAAAGGCTTACTCATTTTTTAATAAAAATAAATTTGGGGTATTGAAATGATTTGAACTCAGCAGGGTTTCATTTGTAAGTGGTTGACTGTGATTATTGAATGATCTTGTAGAAAGGAAGTGGCCATCCCGCAAGAAGATTTATTTATTTTTTTCAATGGCTCTCCTTTTTTTCTTTTTAATTTCTTTTAGGGAATTGTTTGAACGACAACATGGGATCAAATTTTAGCAGAGGACTAATTGATTGGTAGATTTGGTCAACTTAAACAAGCTTCATATATTTTAAGTTTGTGTAATGCAGAAGTAATTCAATATATCGTGTATACTTGAGTTCCATCTAAGATTAGATTTGAAAATGTCCACATCAAGAGTAAGGTCCTTGCATATGTTTTATTTCAAGTAGGGATTTCTATCATAATAATATGTGTAACTGAGAGTTTGTGTAAAAGCTAGAAGAAAGAAAAGAAGGGCAAAAGCTAGAAGAATTTGTGTAACTGAGAGTAGAATCTGCTACATTTTCTTCAGCAGAATATCTTTTTTAAGAGATAGAACACCCAACCTGTATGCATCCTTTCTTGCTTCCATATTAATGCCAGCAAGAAGAGCCATAAAGTCTCACTGTTCATCCTTACAGTTTCTGATACTTGATATTCTGGTTAGCAGAAATTGAAAGCAAAAATGTTGGCAACAGTCATTCAAAATTCACCAAGTTCTTATGTTTAACTACACAGGAATATGATTCTTTTGGTGATTTAGTGATGGATCAAGAATGGGAAAGCGGTCCAGAGGGCACTTTTTGGATGGAGTTGAGATTTAATGGCATCTTCCTTTACTTCTTACTTTCCTAAGGACACCATGTATTTTTCAATTAACAACTGCCACTCAGTGATTGAACCCTAGTGTTCTCTTTGTGTTAACCGTCCACACCCTATGCGTTGCTAGCTTTTGACTGTGTATTTATGTTGTATGATTTAAAATTTTCCAGCTACACTTTGACACCATGTATTATGCAATTAACAACTGCCACTCAGTGATTGAACCCTAGTGTTCACTTCACGCCTGATAGCGGCATTATTGAGGAAGGAAGTCACTCCTTGGGTGAGGTGCACGTCTTTCAATGCCTTAAGTTCTTCCTTGCTCAGCTACACTTTGACACCATGAATTATGCAATCAACAACTGCTACTCAGTGATTGAACCCTAATGTTCTCTTCGTATTACCTGTCTACGCCCTATATGTTGCTAGTTTTTGACTATGTACTTATGGTGCATAATTTAAAATTTTCCATCACACTTGTATGGAGTGACCGCTGCAAATTGAGACAAGGAAATTGTTACTCTGCAAAATGTAGGGGGAGAATGCATTTATTTGTTGATGAATTGAGAGTAGACAATTTGGAGGAGGAAAAACGGATGTCAGTAGATTTCTGTAATGGAGTTAGAAGCAGAAGGCTGGCTGCTTAGAAGTTTTATGGGTGAATGAGAGGCACAATTGGGAGAAGAAAATGTTGCGGGGACTGGGGAGGTTGGTAGCAGAGTTATTTATGAAAATAATAAGCTTAGCTGCAAATCCTTTAGTACTCATGTTGTTGGTATTGTTTTCCCTTCGTTTTCATCCCCAAAATAACTCCAAAGATTGTATTATCAGCCATTTAGGATTTTGATCATAGACTTGGCATAGCTCAAAAGAAGAGTTATATATTTGATTCATTTCCCTTCGAATGGTAAGCAATTTTGGTGTTTTCCAAAAAAAATCCTTCCGACTCTCTTGACTATCATTTGACTTCATCCATTGTCTTACTGTGGATTGGATATAAAATCAGAGAGGAAAATATATATAAGTATTTAATAAGGTTATCCAAAAACAATACTTAAGCAACCTGATTTTTCCAATTCTAATATTAAAATAACTAAAATTAGATTATATATATATATACACACACAGCATGAACCACTTTTAACAACTGAGTCAAAATTCCCCCTAAATTGTGGGTCTTCTTCCTTTTTCTACTATTAGAAAAACCAAATCATTGCAAACTACCCTAGTTGGAGTTCTGCACTTTGTGGTAGACCTAAGGTCAAAACAGAGGTAGTTGCATTAAGCAGCATGGTGATGTACAAACATAAAGTCTCATAAATCAAGAATATTCATAAAAGAAATAGAAATCAACAAACAGTTTTAACCATATATAGTAGCTATAAAGTAGTTTTTACATTGTACAATGAAAATATAAAGTTGCTTTTTATTCATAAAGTCTGCACAAAATAATTGTAGTGTGCATGCATCATCCTTATTGAGTTCATTTTGCCTACAACATTGTCTATCCTATGATGCACTTAGGCCTAGTTTGGTACGCAGCATTCCATTCCAACCATGTCCTTGTTTGGAATGACATTTAAAGTGGAAATGACCATTCCCTTGGAATGAAAATCCATTCCACATCTAAATTGATGGAAAGAAATTCTTGACCACCATTGCCGTCATCGCCTTCTGCATCCACAGCAATCGTCTTCCGCCGCCGCCACCACCACCGGCATCACCTTCCATCGCTGCCTTTCACTGTCTCCACGGCCTTCCGCCACCGCCTACCGCCACTGCCATCCGCCACCACCTTCTGCCACTGCCATCGTCTTCCATCACCGCCATTGCCTTCCGCCACCACCACCTCCTTCCACCGCTGCCACCGCCTTTCACTGCCACTGCCACTGCCTTTCACTGCCGCTGCCACTACCACCGCCGCGACCACCTTCCGCCACTCCATTGCCACCGCCTTCCACCACTACCACCGCCATCGCCTTTCACAACCACCACTTAGAATGGTGATTATCATTCCTACATCATTTCGTATTTGCAACTATAGAATAGAATAAGGATGACCATTCTATTCCATTCCTATTCTCATTCCATTCCCAGCTTCAATCCATTCGCTTTTTATTTCATTCTTGTGTACCAAACTAGGCCTTATAGAATGATATTGTTATATGGGGCATACTATTTAACTCGAGATGTGCCATAATGCAATTTATTAATATTCTATTCAAGTTTTCTCAATGACTCTTTATTTTTTATTTATTTTTTTGCTTTATAGATCGTAACCTAATCTCATCATCTTTATTTCTATTGAACTGAATTTTTTTCTGGAATTTCTAAACAATCTCATGTTGCTGTACATTTTTAATATCTTTACTTATCTTTTTTATTTTATAAATCAAAATGATCTGTTCTTGTTTGATGTTCTATCAGCACAATGATACTGTGTTGTGCATTTTCAATAGATACGT